ACAGAACCACCTGTTCTTCTCAGCAAGAGGCTAAATCATGTTTATGAGAATCCTCTCTGTACCATGTAAGATGCTGCAGACAGGTAACATCTAGTCTGTTGGTCTAAATGTCTGGGACTAATGAACTTCCATTCACTTCAGACTTCTTTGAGGCCCAGTAGGCAAAGCTGTATTCTGGGCACCCTGGGGGAAACATAGTGACAGTACACAGCACCCGCACTAAGGAGTTTAAAGAGGAGGCTACTCCTAATAGTAACTGCGGCAGCCATAAGTGACAGCGTCAAGAGCAAGGAGTACCATGGTGAGAGGGAAGTCCTGCTTCCTGGGGCACAGGCTCTTATTCCTAAAGAGGAAGAAAGCTGGCACATAAGACATTGGGAGGTAGCAGTATAGTGTGCAGAGCAGGGACCCTGGGCTCCATCCAAGTTGCCTATCTTCTCAGTGCCTAGGTTTCCTCATCTGTTCATTGGGTTGTATAATAATAAGTACCTCAGAAAAGTGCTACAATGACTTACATGATCCATTTCTTCTCAAACTCCTAGAACAGTTCTTGGCACAGAGAAAACACTCTCTATTAGTTCTCTATTCTACTGGGTCTAACTTAATTCAAAGTTTATTAGTATTTGGGCATATTTCTACTAAAGCCTCAGGGTGTTATGCCTCATATTTTATGCAGTTATATTCAGATACGATATTTTACATATTTGACATACTTGTGCTTAAAATTTCCAGTACCAGGGAAACCGTGAGTCCCGTAGTGCTAAGGGTCTTTCCGACTGTGCAGGATATTATTACCTCATGCCCCAGTGCAGTGTTTTACAGGAGAGGCTGCAAGGCTTGGGAAAGTGTCCCAAGATTCAGAGTCAGACCTCAGGGGCTGTGAATTCTGACTCTGCCTTGTTCCAGGTGGATCATCGTGTCCAGTTACTTGATGTGCCCTTGAGTTTTTTTCTCCCCATCTCTAAGTTGATGAGTATCAGATGCCAGAAAGTTGGGAAGTTGATAACTAAAGATGCAGAAATGCCTGCCTAGAGCCTGATACTGGGGCTGCTTTCGTCCTTGGGATGGATGCTGCTGCCTGCCCTGTCAGTAGTGATCCCAGCAGCATGTCCAGCCTTGCACTGAGGCAGGTGTGTCTGTCTTTTCTCAGAGTGTGAAGAGTACAAAGACATCATAGACTCTGTGCTGAGGGATGAACTGCAGTTCGTGGAGAAGCTGGCAGAGAAGCTCAGGCAAGCTGAGGAGCTCGGGTGAGTAGGCCCCGTTGGGGGCAGGCAGATGGGCAGGGGTGTGAATCTCTGAAGTGCAGCAACTGAGCTGGGAGAACTAAGAGCTAAGCTGGGCCAGGACAAGGGCAGGCATTTACATGGCAGGCACATGCCATACAAACATTTATAAAACAGAGAACAGTCATCTTAGTAAGTTATGGGTTGCAGTTGTTTCTTGAACCTTGTTTTCTCTTTTTAAAATAAGGAATTCTTGAGGTGAAATTTGCATAACCAAAGTTAATTAAAAGAAAGTGAACCACCCAGCAGCATTTAGCACATTCAAAATGCTGTGTGATCACCACCCCATTTACTCGTAGAATCACCTCCTGACTGACTGCCGCATGTCATTCGTTCAAGCAATGTTACCTTCTTGAACCTGTCCTTTTTTCCTTCCTACATTTTTCAAATCCACCCTATTTGCACCTGGTCACATTTCTATGCGTGGCTTTAGTTCAAGTCACTGCAAGATGCACTGTGTGAATTTCCATATAGAAATGTCCATGGCCAAAGTGAGGAACTGAAAGGATATCTATTTGGAACTGATCTAGGAAGACACCGGCTTTTGTTTACAGAAAAGAAAGATCTATGGAACATTATTGAGGATCTTACAGGCGCACTCTTTTATATAGAGGAACCCTTTAAAAATACATACATATGTATAACTTAGAGATATATATTTTTTATATTTTTTTTTCTTGGCCAAAGGCATTTCCCCAAATATGTGCTGACCTTCTGCTTGGAAAGCTCCTTGAGGACATTCTCACAGAAACCTCTGTTGCAGTATTAGAACTGATCACTCATCCCTTTCCATTATTAAATGTTCTCTACTATCTCACCTTAGGCAATATAAAGCCTTGGTTCACTCTCAGGCACGAGAGCTGACCCAGTTACGGGAGAAGTTACAGGAAGGGAGAGATGCCTCCCGCTCACTGAATCAGCATTTCAAGGCCCTCCTC